GTCCTCTGCCTTCATGATTGAATGTCCACTTCGTTTGAACAACGAACACAACAATCGAGGACGGCTTTGCAATGAAAAATACAGCTATACTGGAGCTGAAAAAAAGAAGAAAAAAACGTGCTCAGGATGAGACTCGAGTACACGCATACTCTCCCAGCAGGTGAAACGCAATTTTCTTGTGAAAAATGCGTGTCGCCGACTGACCAGTAATTTCGCCTGACGTGTCTGAACAACCGCTATCATGACACTTGGAAGAAGTCGCTGAAAACAAATCTCCAATTTTCGTTTCGTGAAAGCGCTTCACACATGTACCTGCCACACTGACGGAACTTGGAAATTGGTGGCGAAGAATAAAAAGGAAAAAGGACCCAACCTGAAAGCGTTCGAAACAAAACTTCTGTGACTTTCCGACTTCGATTCCGACTCAGGTTTTGCTAGTGCAAAAAATGGGTGTGAATTTGCACTGCACCGGTGCTGCGCAGCACTGTTGCAGTGCGGTTCACACAGCGAATGCGAACAGCGGTTCAAAGAAGTACTAGTACAAGCCTATCCTCGAGCCTAACAAATGCATGGACTACCGTATTTTACCGGTTGTAAGTCGACCCTGGTTATAGGTCGACCCCCATATCCGGAGGTCTCAATTCTGAATTTTAAAGGGGAAGTCCGGTGAAAAATTTAAATTTCACAGTCCGTAGAGTTCGGGTCGCTGAGTCGAATGGTCTTTGTCCGAGGAGGCTGCGGCCTATGGTTCGTCAGATACGCCCAATCGAACATGTGCGAATTTAAGCGCGCATCACCCAGATCCAGGTGATGACGTCACAGCGTGCAGCCAGGTAGCCACACCATCTAGTCGTGTACAAAATGGCCATATTCGGAGCGCATTCGATTGGGGAACCGTTCGTCACAGCTTCTTCGGACCAAGACCATTCGATTCAGTGTTACAAACACTACGTACCCTGTGATTTGCAGCTCGGTAAACCTCGAGGTTATACCGTATTTTAGCCGTTTCCGAGTTGGACTTTTTCCGTCAGTGCTCTACGGCTCTAGCCTAGGCTAGCAATGCGCTGCGTGCATGCTAGCTGTAGTGCAGTCAACAAACTCATCACACACGGAACTCCCGCACTGCCGTGCTGGCCCGGGCTAGCTACAACAAGACTCGAGACACAAGACTCAGAAAACTAGTCAACACACGGACTTGTCATGCACTACACTCGTATCATGTCAGTGTACAGTCATGCAGTCAGAGAACCTGCGTTTCTCCTTGCCGGTGCCGGTGGTTGTGCTTTGAGAAAAAAAAAATTAGTTTTCCGCTCCAGTCCGGCCTCATTATTTTATGCTACAGTGATGAGTGCACAACCGTGACAAGTGACAAAACAGCGAACAGCTCCCGGACCTAGAACTTTCAGATTCCATAGCGTTGCGAGCGAAGAGTCGTGCCCGTGGTTCAAAGAGCCTGCACTGTTCTCCAATTGAGTAGTCCGAAATATGCCAAGTTCGCACCAAAACATCACCATGTGGCAGGCTACTGGAGTCTAAGCGAATCGGTATGGAACAACATTTAGAGCACTCCCATCACTCTTCTCCATTTTGGCGACCCTGCTCTCCAGCGATCTGATAATTATATCAGCCTCGTCTGCAATAGCTGCTGCTTCTTCATCAGTCGGAAACTCAGTAGCGTTCACTCTTGACCGGCCCGCGCGGCCATTTCTTCAGCTGAATACCCAGGTTCTCAGCCCCAGACCAAACTCATGAAGGTCAGCCATGGCTGCATCCTCACTCTCACAAGGAGTTAGGTCTTCGGGGTCGCTTGCACCACCTACATTATAGTCGCCAAATCATTTGAAATAGCACTGACACTCACACTCCTTTTGACCTAGCTGCACGCTATGACGTTGCGGAGGGTGTGGCGCGGCCGCATGACGTCATGGCGCAGCCCCCCGAAACTCAGTTTTTCAAACGGAAATATCTCGAGAACGCTTTGTCGGAGACATGTGGGACCAACACCATTCGACTCAGCGCCCGAAACTCTACCGACCCTGAAAATTAAATTTTTCACCGGACTTCCCCTTTAAAGTGTTCACCCAACGAAGCACTACTAACCATTCCCTGCTACTAACACATCAACAAGTCATGTGAACATTCCTTATTGGAGGGTATAACGTCCCAATCCATAACAAATGCCAATAAACTGGCAACAATGTGTACACATGGTGCACTCGTGCATGCAGGGCAGGTCATTTTTTGTAAGATACTGATAGTTCCCGTTTATAAGTCGAATCCCGGTTGTAAGTCCACCCCCACCCTTTCACCGTCTATTTTAAGTCGTATAAGGTCGACTTACAACCGGAAAAATACGGTAGATGTCCTACCCAATGCTAGAGTAGATCAGTAGATGTCCTACATGTAGATCCTGCGAACTCTTCGTCAGTCAACAGTCGACTAGCCGTCGACTCCACTCGTGAAGTCAGTGCCTGTAGACTTATTATATGCATGAAATGGTAGTAGTACAGTGCATGTCGACATGTCCTGGCCAACCACGTATGGATACCTGACTGCAAAGTGTCCACTCTGGCTACGCGCCTGTGTAGTGTGGTGACCATGTTACGGCATGACCACTCACATGACTGGCAACCTCATAGCTGCAGTTTTGCCCATTGTGACTATGTAGTACGCATGACGGCAATGGGAGGAATGCATCTAAGGGGGTGATTATATGTGCAGCTCCAGCCCGGGCTGGTCGACAGGCGGGCCAGCCCGCCTGCAACGGGATCTCGGGGTTGTCCACAAATCCACACAAAACCTGTGGTGCGTTTACATGGCAAGCGGGCTGGCCCGGCGAGGCGGGATCCCGCCTCGAGGCACCCGGGATCCCGGCTAGGCGGGCCAGAAAAAGCACATATAAACAGACCAGCCCGGGCCAGAGTTGTATTATTATGGTGTCGACACTGCGTTGATACTACAAAATAGGTACTTTTACCTTTTGAGGGAAGTTATAAAGAGGATTCCCGATATTGTCTTGAAAATCTATGAAGCTTTTTGTATAGCAACAAGAAGGACGTGCAGTGAGCACTGTGTATTTGTCGACATGCAGGATTTACATTAAAACGGAAGGGGAACTACTTGCAAAATACTTTGATATGGACAGCTAAAAATGTGAAAAACAGGGAAAAGAAACGAGGTGATACAACACACCAAACATGTGCCACAGCATGAAAATAAATCAGCAGAAGAATACAATGTGTGAGAAAAAAAGTTGTTAGGTTTATAACCTGAGTATGGCTTGCAGCCCTGCGTTTCAGCCCGGGGCAGCACACTACAGTCGTAGTGTGTTTGCTGCATACTCACAACGGGCTGGCGTGTGCTCAGTGCATATAAACTCACTGCGGGCGGGCGACCAGCTCGGCCTTGCACATGTAAACACCCTTGGCGGGCTGGCCCGCTCGCTCCAGCCCGGGCTGGAGTTGCACATATAATAGGCCCCTAAGATGGCCGTCACCTTTTTGCGGGGCAAGTTACCCCATACTTGGCAGGTACAACCCGTTATAGTACATTTATGTGTATGACCTCACAAAGTTCATGACCTTTTATGCAGAGCTGGTATCAAGGTGTGTACGGTTATAGTGGACTTGCCCCGCAAAACCTAATGGCGGGAAATGGATGAATACGTCTCATCTGCTGGTGTTGTGACTGGACCACGCTGACAACACATGCGCCTGTCATGTCTGTAGGAGCATTTCACACAACATCATTACTTCTACCCACCAACCTTGCTTTGACGTGTGTACAATATTGATGAATGCGCCGCATATCCTTGTCATACCTATATTTACATTATTGTCTCCATGTATGATTCTGGATATAATTCATTTTGACAGAGGCTGTGTGCCTTAACCTGCAATAGTGCTCAAATGCCCGTAACGGGCAGAGCGTAGTACGCAAGAGGTACATGAAAGGAAGTAAATAGGGCTGTTTTTGTTGTAACTCAGAGTTTCATGGCAAAAACCAATTTTCAGACAACATAAGGAGATTAGAAAAAACGCACCATAGGCACCCAGCACCTTGAGATGTTGATTCTGGCATGTCAGAGCGTACTGCCTCTGGGAGGTGTTTTTTTTTAATTCTTTATTCTCACGATGGCACCATCGCCAATAAGAGATAAGTTTATGAGAAGGTGAGATGCTGTGGGTGGGGCTGTGGGTTATGCAGTTGGAAAGTGATTTACATCACTTTGAATTTTACAAGTATGGGAGAGGGTGAGCGCTGCAGGAGCAGGTTGAGTTAATCAGCAGTGAACAGATTTCTTGTTTGAAAGCAGGTCGGGAGGAGACGTCACGAATGCTAGCAGGGAGGGCATTGTAGTATTCTAGGGACTTGTACAGTGGGGAGTCTTTACAGCGATCGGTTCTGTGTTGATTATCATATTGTCTGCACTGCATTATTCGATCTCCTCTGCTTGCTTTCATATACCTGCGTTTTTTCTAATCTCCTTATGTTGTCTGATGATTGGTTTTTGCCATGAAACTCTGAGTTACAACAAAAAAACAGCCCTATTTACTTCCTTTTGTGTACCTCTTGCGTATATTCATTTTGATAATTTCTTTAGATTCTTACGATAAAGATACGAAAGAACAGGTGCCCTTGTACAGCACCCGCACTGGACTAAAGGCTGCGGAGGATGTTGTTTTCGTTTGCGCCGGCAAATGGGCAACCCGACGTGCAGATCTATCCTCAAGGCTTCCTCCTCGCTTCAAACTTTCACTTGTTCGCGCAGTGTTATCAAGGGTATTGAACGAATACAGGCGAACGAAGGTCATCCTCGGGAGGATGCGTGGGCTAGCCAGGTTTCGACGGGCAAGGCTCACCAGCGTACACACTATACGCGTCGTGCTCCACAACCCACCCCGCTCCTTTCAGCCCTCCCATTTCCCCAACCTTCCGATCCAAAAGCACGGACGGCAACGCACTTTAGCCGGGAAATTTTAACACCGTAAATAACATACCTTCTGGTCATGACTGGTCCAGTAGCAGCCAAGAGCTGGAGTGTCGAATAGGTATTTCCCTTCACGTCCACACGGAAGGGCCCGCTCAGCCTCACCTAAAAATTCTCTCGGATCATCCCCTAAGGCTTTCCAGAGTATATGCACACCGACGGGGCAACCGGAGCGAAAATCGGACAGCGCCACGGGGTAACAAACAAGGGTTTGGCAAATGACCAGAGGGAAGGCATAAACTAAGCGACTTTGAAGCAAATCCTGCCTGGCTACCTTGAGGCACGTAACTGATTGTCGAGCCAGCTAACAGCTTTCCAGAAGTGGCCCGAAAACAGTGACTCTGAAAAAGGAGATCAATGCCTGATTTACTTCTTCTCCGCTGAAAAACACTACTGTACCCTGATTACTGTCTCAGTTTGTCTGTGCAGATCTACCTCTAGCTCTGCACTGAGTTTGTACATGGATAGCCACTAAGCCATGTATGGTGGGTAGATGTACGCGCGGCGCGATCAGCCCGGGGCGCGCTCGAGCTCGCGCTGCAGCAGACAGCTAGCTGTACATGTAGCAGACGTGAGATTTATTTTTATTTTTTGAGTCGCAGACAGCATGCAGTGGCTGTGTTATAACCAGGGTGCTGAGATGGGCTTTCGGGACATGTCTCTGAGAGAAGAACTAAAGTTACTTCAAGAAGCAATCTATCCGTCGACGAACTTTGCAAAGCCGCGCCGATAATATGGTAATGTACCGTGGTGCATGCACCCATGGTACCACCACTTCGTAGACTGCCTCCCGTTCATTTCTGTGCTCCTGTCTTTATTCTCGTCAGCTGTGTACATCAGCAGTTCAATTCTGTGCTCCAGTCCTCTTTATTCTCGTGAGCTGTGTACTTGTTTTGCTGTTTGTTTGGTTTATTTGAATTCGCTCAGTAACCGTGTACTTCAGCTATTCTCTCCTCCCTCTTCTGAATTTGACTCTCCGCTGGCCTTCTCTCCTCCCATCCCCTTACATTGTATTGGGCCTCCGCAGCTCCCCCCCCCCCCCTCCACGCACACACTACATTGTCACATAGCACAACTCAACCATTCGCTACCCTGTTATTGAGCACTCCTGCTCATTTGGTCTCGCGAATCCAAATAAAATCAATCAATCAATCAATCCGTCTCTGATGGCCAGAAACATGGACGTCCTCACTCGAATGACGAAAGCTGCAATCCCAGTCCACGCCACCACTCCCCTTATTCATGGCTCACACATGACGGGTTTTCGTGGCTCTAGTAAAAAAAATCCGTCCCTTCTTTGGCTTTCCGCCGTGGACTTCCACTGCGGGGCGCGAAAATCCTAACATTCGTTCGCCGCTGCATTCATGGTCGACATTGGCCGTTCAAGTGTCCTGTTTCGGAATTACTACGCCAGAACACAGAGTGATCGCACCCGTGGAGCTGACCAAAACTTATTGCAGGTACCCTTCTGGCCCGGTCCTTCTGGTCGAGGTACGATCCAGTTCATTGGTGCCAATCTCTGGAACAAGACACCGGCCATGATGCGCTGTGAACCTTGTCACGCCCATTTCTGTGCTCTCTCGAAAGCGTCCGAGTATTCAAAATAGGTCACTTTTTTTATCTGGTCACCAATGGTCAATCCTTCGGTCAGTTACGTTTTCGGTTTTCAAAAGGGTTCTTTTTCCCGCAGATCTATCTGTAACCTATTCAGTTACCTTCGGTGACTTCTTTCACTTGTGATTTTTTCTCCTCCTCTCCCCATTACTATTATTATTATTATTAAATTTGTCATGTCGCTCGCATGTAGAAAAGAAGGCGCCATCGCCTGTTTGTGTTGCGACTTTAAATAAAATTCAACAACAACAACAACAAGTACCGGTAGGTATGTTTTGACCGCGGAGAGCTGCTGTCTGATAAACAGTGTAGACACGTTTTTTTATGATGTGATGATGTGACGGAAAAGTGATAATGTACCGTGCGTGCACCGATGGTGGTACCACCACTTCGTAGACGGTCTCCCATTCATTTCTGTGCTCCTGTCTCTATTCTCGTGAGTTTGTGTACTCGTTTTGCTGTTTGTTTGGTTTATTTGAATTCGCACAGTAACCGTGTACTTCAGCTATTCTCTCCTCCCTCTTTTGAGTTTGACTCTCCACTGGCCTTCTCTCCTCCTATCCCCGGCCTTGCATTGTACTGGGCCTCCGCAGCCCCCACCACCACCACCCCACGCACACACTACATTGTCGCATACAGTTGCACAACTCAACCATTCGCTACCCTGTTATTGAGCACTCCTGCTCGTTTGGTCTCGCGAATCCAAATAAATTCAATCAATCAATAGAACTTTATTAGGATGACCCAAAGGCTGACCGCCTATCGTGGGGATAAAGAAATGGAGCAGAATTCGAGGAATTGCCCGCCATAAGGTTTGTATGGTTCTGCCAATTTCACTGCATTTCGAGCAGAATCTGCCACCTTTTCGAGCATTATCCACCAATGCCTAGAAAAACTGATCGAGATAGTTTTAAGTACACGTTCGAGATATCAGAAACCAGGGGAGTGCGGAGCAGGAACAGGTACTGCTCAAAAGAAAACTGGATGCATTGTTTCGGAAAGAATTTCTACGAGGTTAGGTTGTGATGCCGATAGGCTGTTGACGGAGACTCCCTCAATTTAGGCTGAGGCCTGTGGAGAATCCATAAATACAAATACAATAAAGTATGTAAGCACGCTCAGTATCAGGTCATGATGGCTGAATCTTGCGAGAGCATGCAGCCCAAGCCAAGGGCCACAGGCCAGAGGGCTGCATGCAAGCAAGGGCAAGATTCAGCCATCATGACAGGCAAGGACAGAGCAGGCTTGATTTGATTTCTTACAGCTCGAAGAAAACCCTGCAGCCCCTGCCGATGTACATGTACATGCACGCTCGCATATCGCGCATATGGCTGATATCGCTGGTCTGGGCGTGTTCGGGTCCAGAGGTCAAATCCGTGACCTTGACCCCGGACGTACTCACGGATCACCTAGACTCTACGTGGACCTTCCAAACCCTGGCCTGGCCTACAACCGCTACATAATCATTACGACGACGTAGGTCGGAAGGCGCATAGCGCGACGGTAGATCTACGCAGTGCAAGTGATCTACGCAGCTGTCTCTTTCAGTTTTCACTGCCTCAGTGCCTGAACTGCACTGCCGTCATGAAACACTATATTACAGTGTTGTAGATGTCCGACTCGTACATACGATGTCAAAGGTACAGTCATGATTATCATGTTGCTTATACTAGTAATTGATTGATTACTTTGCCTTGGTTGGCCACCCCAATTGCCTCAGTTAGGCGTGCTTCGTCGACCTTGCTGGAATTCGACTGTAGCGCGTGTAGTTAGCCTGGGGTTTGTGAGTGTGGGTAGGTTTTTTTCACCAGATCAAAGACCGCCACGACCAGGGCATGAGCTGCGGATGAAGCTGTTGGTGGGGAAGCCCTCGGCTGGCTGTTTCGCACAGTGGATATTCGTGGGTGAGTACACTGCAGAATAGGCAGAGTTCACTGGTCTTTCCGGACGGTGACAACAAGGGGAAAAGGGTCGCCTCGCTCGGTCCACAAGGGCTGGAGACCTAGAGCTGTGAGCTAGATAACACGGAGATTTAGCATCACGGAAGTCTTGTTCGAGGTCGCGTAGACCTGCAGTACACTTTGCAGTTCGCGAACGGGAATGCGGCGGAATACAATAAGTTAGACTAGGTGCACAGTAATGAAGTACCAGTACACGTATGTGCGTACAAACCTGTGGGACGACATGGGTGGCGCACCCTTTAGTAAACTTTGATCTGCGGAGCACAAAAAAATCTCTCTGCAAGCAAGCATTTCGTCTGGACAATGTGTACGGATGACATCACGGTAACATTGTGTACGTGCATGTCGTCTATTACTTTCGCACTCTTTGTCCCAAGAAGCAGTCAAGCTGTATGTCCTAACACGAATCGCTAACATTGGACATGATCCCCCGTTTGACTTGCGATGTAAAATAAAAACAAATACATATGTCCTTTTCCTTTCTACTTTTATTATTGGCTCAATACCCGAGTTTCAAAATACAAAAAATTAAACAATACTGTCTGTATACATGTAAATGTCAAAGTTTATTTAAAAGGGTAACGGGCACGTAGCCCTCAGTGGCAGGAGGAGGGGAGGGGGGGGGGGGGGGGGATGTGCCCCCCTAAATATTTAGACCTATGTTCGGCATGCACATAATGACCATCATGACATGCACCAGCCGTCCCAGGCTACACGTATGATACAGGTGCCGTGCATCCCCTAAGAGGGCGACCATGTACGCCCCTAAGTAAGGTGCACCCCCCCCCCCCTTAAAAATTCCGCCCTATGTTCAGCATGCACATAATGACCATGATGACATGCACCAGCCGTTCCAGGCTACACGTATGATACTTTTTTTGCACATTTTCTCTTTTTCCCAACTCCAATGTTTATTGTATATACACAAAATAGGAGATCCCCCCGATAGGCGTCAGCCTTTCGGTAATCCTGAAATAAAGATTAGTATTATTCCCGTAGCTATGCAGAAGACGTTACTTCAGTAACGTCTGGCGCTAGCCAGGGTCCACACAGCTTTAATTTGGTGTTTGTTTGTGTGTTTGTTTGTTTGTGTCACGCCTGGCGCTATCCTGTATCTATCCCGTACTGTACCGTACCAGCTAAGACAGCTGGCCACAATATTTTTGTTTGTTTCTGCGATCGACATGCCTGGCGCTATCCCGTACCTGTCCCGTACCATCAAGAGTACGGTACCATCAAGAGAATGAGCATATATGCGAAGTGTATGGGGGGATGCATTCATTGCAGTAACATTAAATTTTGTGTGGATTTGTGTGCGAGGCCGAGATGCCACTAGCAGGCTGGCTGGGTCGCCTGTCGACCAGCCCGGAAATCGCATGTAGGCCGATAGCATAATAACAAGAGTACATAACCCCCCCAGAGTGTGCAACGCCTG